CTATATACATAAAAGGAAAATCGACGGCCCTGAGGCGGGGCTAATTTTGACCCTAGGGCATTAAAGGTACTCCACTGAGGTACGGCCGAATGTCACAAAAAAAAGTAAAATTTCACGAACCGATATTTTTTTGTTACCTGCGAGTTAGGGACATTCAAACAGAATCAGTGATACATTGATATGTGTTCTTTGGATTGGCAAGTCGTTTGAAATACATATTTTCTCCAATTTTGTGGGAAAAGCGTTTAAACACCTTTCAGTTTGCAAATCTGAATAAAAACAACGGTCACGTGATGAGTCTCGGGATGACTAAAAAGCGAAACGGAGAATTTTTTGTGTATCGGCAGCAACGAAAGTGCGAAACCGGAATATACCAACAATCCATAAATTTAAAAGCAAATAATGGGTTTGTTTGTTAAATTTCTTGTTGTTCACATATGTTCTTGTGAGAAAAATCTTTCAAAAGCAATTTCAATATATTTAAAGCATTACATTGTTGTAATCATGTTTGTTTTCTCCATTACAATGATGAATTTAGCTAAACGTACGGAGTTCGAAACTGACATACACAAATTTTACAAATATTCTATGTTAATTTGAGAGCTTTCGTGTAATTATTAAATATTATGTATTAACTTTGTAATGGTTAAAATATCATGATATCTAGGCTAAGAAAATTTACTTTGTCAATCAGTGTAATGGGTCCTATTTCAAAGGTCACTTTGGTTTATCTGACACCCGTTCAGGAAAAAAAACTTCGTAATACCTTTTATACAACGAACATGAATTTGAGTATTGTAAGCATAAAAAATCACATGCACACACAGAATGTTATTCCAGAATTTTCTCTTTAACTCTGATCAAAGCACTGAAAGCACTGGCTAAATAGAGAATGAATCCGGCCTCATTATAGGACATTTAGGCTTCAACTTTATTAGATAATATTTCTAATGTATGTCTAGTGCACATAATTAAAATTCTTTAAGAAAAAATCGATCTCCTTTGCTAGATAGATCTGAAATTTAATATTTATCATTTTACATACATACTTGCATATTTATCCGCATTGGATGTAAACTTTGTTGATGAAAAGATTACTATGTTTTGATCTAGACATTCAAAACTATAGGTAATTGATACCTGTTTCATGCACATGGTAAACATTATCAAGAAGGTCGGAAAAGAGTTACAATCTGGCTCTATTAATATTATTATTATCATTATTGATTTAGCAGATATCCTGATAAATTTTTTTCTTATTGGAAGGCCTCCGTACTAGTGATGGGTCAATTGAGCTGTGCTTTAATGTTACCAATATATTGAAAGCTTCCCGGTGGAAAAGAAATTGAGAGCGTTATAAGAGTAAAAAAGGAAAACTGGAATAAAGACAATCAAGGCGACGGCAACGTTCACATGACGCAGCCCCCGACATAGTCAAGCTTCCACAGCAGGGTTATTGCCGTGACTAGTGAAATAAACTTAAAACTGATTATATAGTTGTTGTTTTTTAAACCCTAACTTTCTTTCAAATTAAACGAAACAAACAAAATCATGATACAGCAAGACAAATGTGAAGGGCAGGTAAGTAAAAGTAACTTTAAGAATTCAGTAAGATATTATTAACCTCACCTCATACAACAACCATTGCTTAAACTATGTTTTATAATACTTCCAACTCCTAGACGGTAAAGGGCAATGCATATATAAACCATTGTTTTTTACTCCTTATAGCCTGTTTATCATGGCATACTCATTGTTAATAGTTTTGTAAATGTTTTGATAAAAAAAGTCGGGTTCATTTCCCGACTATTTTGAAAACACGAGTGACTGGTTTCAAAAACTACAATGGCTAAATATTGATCGGATGCATTTCATTGCATAAATAAGTTAGGGAGAGAACGCTGCTTTTCTTTCTTTATAGCACGAAAACCTTTACTTTTCTCTACTTTTGTCTCTTCTTTCTTCCTGTTTTTCATTTTTGTTGTTTATTCTTTTTATTTACCACTTGAAAGCCTGAAATTAATGTTTTCATTGATAATTTAGCTGTGGTCCTGTTTTGCTTGGTCGTGTGGGTGTTGTATTCATTGAATGTTACCATTCCTTTTTGTATTTCTGATCGAAGATTAGGAAATACAAAGCTAACATTCAATCTCTGACACAGCGGTTTCACGACAAATCTAACAACAAACAGTTCTTAAAACACCTGAAAACTACCGATTTAAAAGAAAGAAATATTTTCATTTTGTTATAAGTATCCAACAAATTACAACGCATGCAAAGTTAAAAAGTAGCTTTGGCTTATAGAATTGTCAATGAATGCACATTCACAAATTACGCGGATGAATATCATTTTAATCAATGAAAATGCTATTTTAAGCGATGTCGAGAGCTTATTTCACAAATAAATCTGACTGTCGAGTAGTGGAATATATACATGTCGGACTGTTTTGGCGAGAATATTTTTGTTAAATTATTTACATCAATGTTAAAGAACAGGTTTATCTTGAACAAAAAACCTCGAAATTAACCCGAAATGCAGTGAAAAATCTAAATTTAGTATTACTTGATTTTATTCAGGCATTGTTCGTATATCTTCTCCGTGGTGCAAGGGTAACGCGCTCGTTTAGTGTGTCTGGGGTTCAAATCCAATTCAAGGCAATTATTTTTTATAAAGTTTCTTTGTTAAGGAAATAGCCACGATATGCAAGGATAAAGTGTGGCTGTCATAAAAAATGAACATAAATGATTTTTGATGCAACTCTAGTCATGCAAAATGTTTCAAACTCTGGTACCAAGCAAGAAGAATTATAGTACATAAAAATAAACTTATACAGGAAAATAATACAGTTGTACAGTGCGATTTATATTGCAAAGATCAGAAAATACCACAGAGCTTGCAGCCTTTTGATTTATCTTGTTTTTCGTATGTATTTCTGGAGATTAAATGGGTGGTTCTCATAATACTTTAAGATTCATAAGATTGTGTATTAAAAGCCTTTGTAAATTGTTTCGGAAATACTGGATATCGTTTTGAAAATTTTAGAGCTACTTAAGTATTTTAAACACGTGAACGAAAAATTTCACAGTAACAGGAATTAAAATTAATTCCTAAGTATTTCGATTATAGTGATTATACCGTAATCAAACGTTAAAGGTCTCCTAAGAAATGTTCTTTGGAATTAAAAATTAAGTGTAAGCACTAGAACATAAACCACCAGATTGCTTGCAAAATCTTTATCGGCAGGATAAATTGGTTCACAAAACATGATTTTTCACAGTCAAGATCAAATGAACAGACTGTCATTTTCTTCCTGTTACCGAATGATACGAACAGACTGTCTTTTTCTTCCTGTTACCGAAAAAAACACACCAGGAAGATTTCAAGTAGAGGACACGTCACTGACAGAATGTTCTTAATATTTGAATAGAAAAGAATTTGCTAAAGCCAATTTATGAAAGAGAAATCGGGGATGCTACTTATTAAATTATTTGCCTATAAAAGAGGATTTATTTTACTCGTTTAGATTATTTTCAAAAACAAAAGTCTCAAAAAGCAAAGGTTAGCTGATATTTAGATGTAAACCGCGACATATAAAATTAATTTACCTGTAAAACTGGAGTGAAAATGTGATAGTTTATCCGTTTTTTCTTCAGTGCCTTCAGCACTTTGATCTTATCTGTAGTACAAGTAAACTATATCGTTTTCACCAAAAAATCATTAAATTCTAAACAAGTTTCTAATAGAATCATAAACATTTATTGTATCATAGTTTGAAGACTTTTTTGTTGAAAACGTGTCAGAGTTAAATCGAATTCATATACATGCACAGTGCGTAACTGGAGTGCAGGTAATAAATACCAACACTCCAGAGCATGCCCATTGATGTATTCATTCTTTTTTTTTTTTGGGGGGGGGGGGGGGGGGGGGGGGGGGGGGGGGGGGTGCTTTTATGGAATAACGATAGAAATGCCACATTCAGAAGCTAGTTCATAGGTTTTTTTTTTTTCTGGGGTTTTCATATTGTTACAATAGGAAACGTGCATTTAATTTTGCCTATGGTATGAATATGATGTAATTGTGTGTGGAACGTGTATGTACGATCCTATCAAGATAGCCTACGAAACGTCACTCATTACATACACAGATGCCCGTTTGTGCCAGAAACAATTTTGCAAAGGGGGCACCTGAGTTCTTTCTCCACCAGTAAAACTGAAGAGTCGCAAAAATGACCTACACAGTTTTGTGTGACGTAACCCTATCCCACTCTATCCCAAATACAAACAATCAAATCAAATGAGACATGTCATTAACTGTATTTGATTTAAATACGTTATAGATAGCGTTAAATACTTTTATAAGTGTGATTACACTGTGCCCGTTTTAGTATAAATATCACCGATGCATTATGTTTGCCTTAGAATATTGAAATTGAAACTGAAATGTCAATGAAAATAATTGTACATGTATATAATATCTTTCCGTTTTGTCTAGAAAATGACCGCTTCGCTGGCGTTTGATTTTTTCAAGACTACGAAATTGCTACCTTGATTATCTTTTATACAGTTTTTCTTCGTTATACTCAAGTTATATAAACATGATAGGTTAGAGAGTTGAGAAAAAAAATCAATAGACTTTTTTACCCCCGTTTACTCTGTTGTTCCAAAAATGTCCGTTGCGTATTTTAGTTATACCCGATGAATTGTGGGTAACTTCTGTACATGTCTGGGAAAACCAACTTTCATTTTTGCATCAAAAGCTAATGTGAATATGCATTTTCTAGCATAATTGTTGTTAGAGGGTTGGTTAAAGTGTAAGTTATTGTTATTTTAGTCATAATATTGTGATTTGTGGGGAAATTTGTATACATTTTTTTTGGACACCAAATTACCCGTCAGACCTCAGTGTAGCCCCTTTAATATGAACAAACTTGGTAGATATTTTATTTTATTAGTATATACTTTTCTCTTTTTATTAGAGATTAATTGCTTATGTCTTTCAGGAGATGGACGGAATGACTCACCAGGACATTGCTCCCAGTATTGTTCTTACACTTTAATGGAAGATACAACCAAGAAGATTTTAACAATAAAAACACTGGATAAACGTATGACTGATAGAAAGTCTGTTAACATGGAAAAACTAGGGTTTGAAAGAGGGATGAGAGAGCTTGAGTCTGAACAGGTGGAAGTAAAAGAAGTTGTCACTGATGCTCATCTTGGTATAGGAGCACTCATGAGTAAGTTAATTATATCAAACCTTATATCATCAAGAATTTCTCTGATGTGTTACAAAACTTTACTTTATTACTACTACATAAATTAGTGCACAATATGACAACTTTATTATTGATAAAAGGATAAAAACTTACCATGTCAGTTACATATATAAAGATAAGTACATTCTTTAGTGCATCTTCAAAAAATAAGCACATAAAAATTGACTTGATTAGCTTTGTTTATTGAAACCTTATTTTTGAGGTAACACAGCGTGATAATACCCGTTTATGTTAATATTTTCTGACAGTAAGACCTGTAGACAACATTTTTTTTTTCTTATTTCAGAATCCAGATACCCTGACAAGAAGCACACCCATGATATTTGGCATGTTGCAAAGAATCTTGGGAAAAATAGTAAAGGTACCAAATCTTAAAATAGATATAAAACAGTTATTTCAGAAACTATTGTGCTGAATGACCTAAACCACTTAATGTATATTATGGTTAATTTATTATTGGAAACATAGATGATTGCTATGCAGTGATTATGTTATGTTTTGAGTTTTTGTTTTCAAAATAATTGTGTTTTGAACCATACAAGTCACTTTCCGACATAAAACAAACTTGCAGTAAGAAAATGACCAAACCAAATGAAAAGTTGCACAAGGACTGCTGTGGCAGTTTCTTAATGCCTTTGCAGGAAATCTGTTCTTCACTTTAAAGTATGAGTGATTATGGTGTCCACTTAGTGACTTGTTGGCGACATTACATTTTGCATTGGACATTGGTTTTCAAAATATACAATTTGTATAATTTCATCCTAACCTATTTTGTTCATGACTTGAAAAAAGTTTTGTCTTGACATGATGCTCAAGCTTTTAGCTTGCCAAAAAAAGTGACAAAAAAGTCATAAAGTTGTTGTTTTTATAGATTGCTCAGAAGAAGCAAAACTCTGTATTGTTGAAGTGGTCAAAGGACATTATCAACCATTTCTGGTTTGCATGCAAAGAAGCAAACACTTGCAGTCAATTTGTGGTAAGAATTTTTCATAAATGTTGATTTCATCAAAACAGTACATGTATTATGTGTTTAGCTTTGCTCGCTTCTTTTGAAAGTTTTAATTAGTGATACACTTGTTTGTGAAAAAAATAATATTGCTTTGAAATTAATGTTTAGACAGAATTGAGAATGTCTGTTTATGTAATTGTGAATTTTGTAGATTTCCATGGAGAACATGTTAAAATGCATGCTCGGAAATGCCAGTGTAATTTGGTATACATTTCTAAATGTTATATTTCTAATTGTTATATTGCAATGTGTTTAGAGTATCTGGAGAAGTGTCCTTAACCACATCACAAACACACATAAGTGGATGTTACCAGATGGAAATGGTCAGACAGGATGTTTACATGAACCCCTGTCAGCAGAAGAGGCTCGAGACAAACCGTGGCTTAATCCATCAAAAGATGCCGCAACATTGAAAGATTTGACCAGTCTTGTTTTAGATAAAAGACTTCTGAAGAAAGTGGGCTATTATTTGAACTTCAGGTACTTTAACTAAATTAGCTTACTTTGTAAAATTAATGTTTAACAAGCAATTATCATACTATTGCAAGCAATCCATAAGTCCCCTACCGGATAGAACCCCATCAGCATTCTGAAGGGCCATTGGCCATTCACTAATGTGTAAATTTTTCTCTATTTTAAGTAAATTTGTTGGAAATGTTCTTTAAAAGTGATCACAGGAAAAAGTTTTTATGAACAGACAGACAGACGAACTGAAGGACACTCTAAAGTTAATATTTGAAACATGTTATTATATATGAAAAATATAACATTTTAAAAAGCAAAATTCTTAAAGAGGAGATAACTCTGGAATTAAAATGCAATTTCATAAAAAGTTTCAGCTCTTTTTGACTAGTCACAAATATTGTTATATTTGCCATGTTTTAAGCCTATTTGTTGCCAAGGCAACCAATATTTTTCAAAATAGGGGGAACTGATAAGACCTGCATAATCTCAAGATTGCCATCTACCCATATGTCAAGTTTCATAAAAATATTTCCAGTACTTTTTGAGTTACCACTGGATTCAGTTTATGTTTAAAATTTGCCATATTTTCAGTCTATTTGTTGCCATAGCAACCAGAATTTTCAACATACAAAGAAAAGAAAAAGACGTGCATAATCTCCATACTGCCATCTATCCACATATCAAGTTTCATAAAAATATTTCCAGTACTTCTTGCGTTATCACTGGATCCAGTTTATGTGTAAAATTTGCCATATTTTCAGCCTATTTGTTGCCATAGCAACCAGAATTTTGAACATAGGAAGAAAAGAAAAAGACGTGCATAATCTCCATACTGCCATCTATCCATATATCAAGTTTCATAAAAATATTGCCAGTACTTTTTGCGTTATCACTGGATCCAGTTTATGTGTAAAATTTGCCATATTTTCAGCCTATTTGTTGCCATAGCAACCAGAATTTTCAACATAGGAAGAAAAGAAAAAGACGTGCATAATCTCCATACTGCCATCTATCCATATATCAAGTTTCATAAAAATATTTTCAGTACTTTTCAAGTTATCGCGGGATCCAGTTTTGTGGACGGACTGACAGACTGACAGACAGACAGACGGACGGACAGACGGACGGTAAACCTAAAGTCCCCTCCGGTAAACTGGTAGGGGACTAAAAACCCAGTATCATTTGATTTTAGGAGGCTTAAAGTTTCATCTTACTGTTTACTTTTATCTAGTACAGTTAAACTTTGTTCGCTTGAACTCGGATCGCTGGAACTCTTTGCCTATCTTTTATAAAAATTCTTGCAACCAGTTAATGTGTTTGTTTATAATTTAAGTCAATATTTACAAAATAAAACCTTGCAATGGTTTAAAATTACAGCATGAACATTGCAAAAACTTTACTTAAGCCCGTCTCACACAAAACACGGTTGGACACACGATTCCCATACGGTATACTCGGTTATACACGGGTTGACTGGTACGAGTTTTCAGCTCCAACCGTGCTTGTGGTTTAGTTGGCACGAATTAGACTCGAATATAGCACGAGTATGTACGAATTGAGCACGGATATACTCGGTCAAGCAAGATTTTAACACGATTTGCATACGAATACATACGGCTGTTGTACGGTTCCAAGTACGGTCTTCTACGGTCTGGTACGATTAAACACGACTTTTACTCGATTTACTCGACTTTCACAGGGTTTACATAGGGTCCCGCCGACTTATGTTCGAGTTAGGCTCGAAATATCACACATTTGTGTATGTTTTGATATAAATTAACCCATTTTGATGACTTGGCTTCATTAATTTTCGAAATTTCAACGAAGACAACTTATATATAGATCATTATAAAACTGCACGTTTGTAACGTCGCTTTTCATTGGATAATTGTGACGTTTATATATTTTTATAAACACGGCTGTTGTCGATTTATAAAGAAATCTCGCTTTATTCCTCTAAAAATGATGCTTGCTGTATTATAAATTCGTTAAAAAGATTGTTGAAAGATTATATGGCCTTATATAAACGGCTGTGTGCAATATAACCCTCACCTAGCGGCTCGGGTTATATTTACAAACAGCCGTTTATATAAGGCCATATAACCTGTCAACAATCTTAATAACTAATATTAACATCAATAAATGAATAAAAAGTGAAGCAATGTAAAATGAATGTGTCTTTTTGTCTGTTGTGTAGCGGTTGCTTGAGGGTCCACCGAGCTGGCATTGGAGTCTGAATCCCTAGGAGACACGGTTATTGCCCGTTGGTCCTCTAGCTTATCAGGGTCAATAAGTTTGAGTGGTCGGTGGGCCTGGATGGCTCTTCTTGTATTCCTTCTATGCGTTCAAAACTTCTTCTTTGGATACATTCTAGTGTGATGCAGCAAGCATTCTTGGTAGGGTGGCAGCAGCTAGTTGTGTTTTTTGTACAGTTCTTGCTGACGTAGAGGCCGTGTTAGACCGTACGAGGCCGTGTGAGACCCTGTATACCCGTACTTTACCGTGTCGGCCATGTATGTTTCGTATATGAACCGTATTGGTCGTATGGCGATCGTATGAAACTGTGTATGCACTCGTTTGAATCGTACCGTGATCTTGTGACATTCGGGTGTTAATCGGGTGTTGCATGTAGGACTTGTGGACGGTCTCGAACGATTCCATACGATTTATATACGACCTTGATACGGTTGGGCTCACTCGTGCAGTGAACTTCACATGCGGCTGTATATACGGTCTCATACGGTCTCACACGGTCTTGTACGGTCGCTTATACGGTCATACACGGACATGGCATCCGTACCAGTTTTTTAAAAGTTTTAAAAATCATACACGGCTTACACGGATACACTCGAATGGCCCGAGTGTAACTCGGATAACGCTACGGTTAGTTCGGTTGTATGTACGGTTTACACGGGTGGCCAACCGTGTAAGCCGTGTGTCCTGTGTGAGATGGGCTTTAGGTGTTGTTTCATCAGACAAGATATGTATTAATCAGTAGTTCCATATGTTCGTGCCTGTGCTGAAAATTTTTCTTGTGATGGCATTTTATTTCAAAATCGACAAAACTACAATCATAGTACAATGTGTAGGATAGTAGCTTTAATAGGATATTTAAATGAAATTTAACATTTCTCTCTGTTATCTGTCTAGAAATATTGAAGAAACAAAAGAAACAAAAGACTTTGAAGACTTTTGAACAGGACTTACAGTGGGCCGGAGGTGAGAAATCACTAGATTGTACATATTCCATTAATATGCAGCTGATGTGAACATAATTTGTGAAATGTCTGTCAGCTTTTGTTAAATATTTATCCCTGATTGTTTGATCTCCTGATAGGTTTGTACCACTTAGAATCACTGACAAAAAGCATGTAGCGGCACAAACCAGAGTAAACTGAAATATGGGCGACTGTTCATGACTCCTTGACTATACAGTTGTACACAAAATAAATGGGAGGAGTAGATCTTGCCGATCAACAAACATCATATTGTCCTTTAAAACAATTAGAATGTTAAAATGGTGAAAAAAACTTTTAATATGTAATCTACTAGAAGTGTGTGTTGCTAATGCAAAAGTTATATATAAATATCTACATCCAAATAAACGTGTTAAAATTGAAAAGTTTAGACTAGCTATAATTACAGATCTGATGAGTGGATTTGACCGAGGAAGTAAAGTGTTTCGACGACCAGCCAATGATCCACCCTCCCGTTTAGTAGAAAGAAACTTCATCAAATTAAACCCTAAGAGAACAGGTGGCGGGAGGAGAAGGTCTTCTCTTGACTGTGAAGTTTGTTCTAATAGAACAAAAAGACGTCATCAGACGCAGTATCTTTGTGGATCATGTAGAGTTCCGCTTTGTACCTACCCTTGTTTTGAACGCTACCACAGTCTCAAAGACTATAAAATTATTTACAAAAGAACTACATGAATAAACTTGCAGAAAATGATTGTTTTTGTGAACAGAAGATAAAACTATAGAACTGTAAACAGAAAAATTGAATTTGTACACTTCTAAAAAATAATAATGAAAAATTTTCAAAATTCTCACTTTTATCATCGAACAAGAAGGCCATGATGGCCCTGAGGTCGCTCACCTGTATATAGGCCCCCGGAATAGGGCCAGTTTAAACCCCATGACTTTTATTTAAACAAACTTGGAAGACACCCATTAGAAGATGTTTCATGATGTTAAGTTTTTACTACACACATATAATGAAAAACAATGACCTTTGCCTCCTCCCCCCAGCAGGGCCAATTTTAACCCAAGGGCTTTTATTTAAATAAACTTGGTAGACACCCACAAGAAGATGTTTAATGCTAAACATCTAACCTCTAGCTCATTGGGTTTTTAAAAAGAAGATTTTTAAAGTTTACACTAATTACACATATAAAAAACAATGACACCTCTGGGACGGGGCCAGTTTTGACCCCAGGGCTTTTATTTGAACAAACTTTGTACACTTACTGGAAGATGTTTCATGCTTAATATCTAAACTCTAGCTATTTGGTTTTTTTCAAAGAAGATTTTTTAAGTTTTTGCTATACACACATAAGGAAAATCAATGACCCCTGGGGCGGGGCCAATTTTGACCCCAGGGTTTATATTTGAACAAACTTTGTAGACACCTATTAGAACATGTTTCATGCTGAATACCTAAGCTCTAGCTCTTTGGGTTCTTTAAAAGAAGATTTTTTAAGTGTTTACTATATGCATATTGGGAAAATCAATGACCCAATTTTGACCCCAGGGCTTTTATTTGAACAAAGTCGGTAGACACTCACTAGAAGATGTTTCATGCCAAATATCTAAGCTCTAGCTCTTTGGGTTTTTTAAAAGAGGTATTTAAAGTTTTTTTCTTTCGGTTGCCATGGCAACCTGAGTTCTGCATGGAATTAAACTCTTTGAACAGTTTTTAAAGGTGACCACCAAAGGAACATTCCTGTGAAGTTTGGATGAAATTGGCTCAGTGGTTTATGAGGAGATGTCATTTAAAGTAAAAGTTTACGGACGGACGGACGCAAAAGCGATCACAAAAGTTCACCCTGTCACTTTGTGACAGGTGAGCTAAAAAGACGGATTTTACCCTAAAAGTATACGAATATATGTATTATTTTTACATGACATTTTTGTATAAAGTATATACAAAAACTTATCCAAAAATCAAACATATATATGTGTAAAAGCACAACTAACGTGCAATTAAAAAAGTACTATAACTTTAGCTGATTTGCCAATTATTTACATAGTGTACCTACTCTTGTTTTGAAC